CCGCCGTCGCCGCCGTCGCCGCCGCCGCCGCCGCCGTCGCCGTCGCGATCGATACGCCATTGCGTCGCGACGTGCCGACGAGTAAATTGCTCGTCTGACGATGCTAGCCGTGCTGGTAGTCGCGCTCCAGTGATGCGATAATATTTCGCCGGACGTATCATCGCCGACATCCTTGGCGCGCGCGGCGGCGCGGCGTCCCGATAGCGATCGTCGGCGACGCCAGTAGCGACAGCGACGACGACGACGACCGCGACGACGACGAGGAGGAGGAGGAAGAGAAGAAGGAGGAAGAGGAGAAGGAGGAGACTCCCCTGTTGGCGCGCGGCGGGGAACGTCGTCGACGGGACGGCGGACTGACGCTGATAACATACATCGTCCGCACAGCAATGCGCCGTGGTGAAGTGACGGACAGAGAGATGATAAATAGGAAGGCGCGCGTGTCTGCTGCGCGAGTACAGTGAACGACGCGTGTAACGAGAGATAAATAGACAGCAGTATACACACACACACACACATATATATATTGTATGTACGTGTGTATTATATATAAATATATAAAGCATGTGCCATTTCGTTGCCGTAGATTGCGTTCGATAAGACTGTAAGACTCAGCCCCCGCGCTATGGATCGTTGGCCCGCCGTATCCGTGCTGCTTTCGTCGCGCATCGAATTTGCGGCTGCGAGAACGTCGCGTTGAAAACCGCCGTCGCCGCCGTAGGAGGAGGTAGCGGTGGTGGTGGTGGTGGAGGTGGTGGTGGTGGTGGAGAAAAAGAAGAAGAACAAGAAGAGGAAGAAGAAAACGAAGTGGAGGAGGAAGACGGCAGTAGCAGGGAACAAGAGGGGAGTTCGCGACAGAATCAGAGAGAACTCGGCAAGGAGGAGGCTCTCTCGTTTGGAGGACGGCGCTCGCTGCGTACGATCTCTTCGCGTAACGCGCTTTTCTGTTCACAAAAGCGCGGGCGAGAGAAAGAGAAAGAGATACAGAGGAGGAGAGGATCACGGACAAAGAGGACGAGGGAGACGGACAGCGTTATCATGTTGTACGTGGAAGTGGTGGCATCGCGGGATCGCGGGTCGCGGCGGTAGTCGCATCGTTGTCTTCGTCGGCGACGCGTAATGCAGCGGCGGGAGGGGCGAACGTAGGGAGGAAGGAAAGACGCGCGAACGGGTTATACGCGTGTAACTCGGCCTCTCGTGCTGTTCGGGAGTGAGGCGAGAGAGTGCGTACGAGAAAGAGTGAAATATATACACACACACACACACACACACACATATATATATATATATATATATATATAGTAGAGAGAGAGAGAGAGAGAGACATATATACAGAGAGAGAAGAAGAGAGGGAGTGTGACAGAGGAGAGCTTCGTAGCGCGCGGGTTAGAAACCTCGTTCAGTGCGGAGAGGATGAATCCGTGTTCGTCCGGCGACACGACACATCGATTCGCCGTTACTATGAACGAACTCGGGGAATGCGGTGGAGATTACGCCGCGACGAGGATCATTGTGACAACGACGACGACATGCTGGACCCGAACAACATGGAAGTGGAACCGCGAGGAAGCCGAGTTGTGCTAGTGCCCGGTCCCGCGCTGTTCCGTCGTCCGCGACATAAATAAACTCGTGGATGGTTGAAGAATCATACGGAATATATATACATATTGTACGCGTCTTAACTGCATATAGATAACGCGATATTGAATGCGCGAAGATCTGTCGCCGAGTGGATAAAAAGCGTTGATTGTCGCTCGTTCTCCGTTCCTCGTCATTCTCTTTCCCCGAGGGGGATATACGTCTTGGACACGCGCGTAGTAATAATGGAGACATTATTGCCCGGCAATACCGCCGCTGGTCAATCGTACAGTCCGCAGTTGAAGACCGTCCTCAAGACCTATCAGCTGTCAGCTGTCAAGAGCCTGCAGGGTCCCAGCTCGGCCCTGCTGGGCATGGACTGTAAGGCCTTGCTGCACGAGCAACAGTCGGCGACCTCGTGCTTCTCGCCACCCACCGTCAATCGTCCAGCAGCCAACTGCGGCCTGGAGTCACCCGTGGAATCGCAACCGCCAAAGGACGTTGTCGAGAAGGAGAGTCGCGAGACGTCGGCACGCACGTTGACGCCCGTTCCGAAAGCGCCTCGCTCGCTGGAGGATTCGGACGAGGATCGTCCCGCAGCGGTGGAACGCCCGAAGGTTGTGTGCGAGAAGCGCGAGCTCGAATTTCAGATACCGATACTCACGGCGCCCGATCAGAGCTGCTCTGAGAGATGCGAGACGATCCTCGAGGGCGAGAGGATCTCATGCTTTGTGGTGGGCGGCGAGAGGAGACTATGCCTGCCGCAGATATTGAATACGGTGTTGCAGGACTTCTCCCTGCAGCAGATCAATCAGGTATGCGACGAGCTGCAGATCTACTGCTCACGCTGCACCCGAGATCAGCTCGAGGAGCTCAAGCATTCCGGCATCCTGCCGCGTAACGCGCCGTCCTGCGGTCTCATCACCCAAACCGACGCCGAGAGACTCGTCAGTGCTTTGCTGTTACGGACAGAGTCCTGCGATCCATCCCAGATTAATCTAGCGCAAGACTGTCTTGATAAGAAGATGTGTAAGAGCGAGGAAGAGGAGGAGACGATCGTTAAGTTCAAAGTGTATCACGAATGTTTCGGCAAGTGCAAAGGCATCTTCGATGCGAAGCTATTTGAAACGGACGATTCGGTATGCATCGAGTGTCTGGAGTGTGGCTACCAATTCTCTCCCCAACGTTTCGTGAGACACGCTCACAGATCTCTGGAGAACCGCACTTGTCATTGGGGTTTCGATTCTGCAAACTGGCGGTCTTATCTCTTGCTCTCTCGTGATCAACAACACTACAATAAATCGCTTATCCTTTTTCGAGAGCTGAAAGAGAGGCACCTTGTATTGAACTCCAAGCGAAAGCTAGAGGTATTGCCACTCAATGCATTTTTTTCCCCTTAAAAATAATATTATAATTTTAATTATTTTACGAATGTACACTCAAATCAATAACATAAAATTAAGTTTAACATTACAAATATATTTGAAAGATATATAATTACATAGATATATAATTACAAATATCTGTTTTAGCTGCGACATGAGCACGAGAGATTAGTGAAACGCACAAAGAAGGACATAGGAAAGGATGACTGTCCTGGAATCTATAATGGCAACGGACTGGCAATGTATCATCCTGTATCTCAAATAGCCACAGATTCATATCTGCAGATGCAGTGGGCAGTTTTTGAGCTCGCTGCCAGGGGCGCGGCCTTTCAGCCTTGGAACGCTGCAGGCAATTGCAAGCACAGGGACAAGTAAGTATTGTGATTGTCGTCGTACATAGCATCTTATACACAGAGATGATAACTGAGACGAGTATTGTCTTTAACAGTTCATCGTTGGTGCCTGCATATCTCAGTCGAGGTCCGCCTGTACTGCAACATCCCGAGCGAGTCATTCCGCTTTCGGAGTGCGAACGTTTCGAGCCACATTTCCAACCTAATGTGGCATTGGCGCCGATACCGGCACCCGCACAGATAGGCCAGATACCGCCGCCTTCGTCTATTCATCAGCAACGACGGCATCATCACGAGCATCGCCGTCACAATCACCATTCCTCGAGTCCCACATGTGAGAAACAGGAGTTACTGTCGTCCGCCAGCGTCAAACTCGAGAAAACGAGAGAATCGCCGCATCAAGTGCCGGCTATGGGTTCTTATCCTCTGTACTACGTGTCCGACGAAAGTCAAAAGGAGGCGACATCACCAAAAGACAGGAAGGAAAAAGAAGGCGAGGAAGAAGAGAGCAGCGCAGCAGTAACATCGTCCACTGTGAGTGTGGAGCCGACGCCACTGGCAGCTTCCTCCGAAGTTGGTACCTCCTCGCCGTCGGAAAGCGATTCAGATATAGATGGTGCCGCAGCGGCGGATCTTGAGGAGCGATTGAGAGCACTGGATGTGCCGCAAGATGTGATAGAGCTGGCGCATCGTGTGGTGTTGGAAAACGCACAGCTACGACGTCATCGACGATCAGACGTTCGAGAAATCTCTAAGTTACGCAGTCAACTGCATATGCAGAAGTTACAGCAACAGCAATCTTCTACCGTCATCGCCGATGATAAGAGTCAAGACAAGAAGGAAGACGTGACGGCGACGACACCGCGTTCCAGCGCGGCCGATAGCACTGAGGGCGGTAACGAGGAGACGGACGCTGCGAATTTACCATCGAACAATAAAGAGTCCGAGCCCGCCAGCGTCCTGGCAACTAATAACGAGTCGGATCAGTGATTAGAATAACGCGGAAGTTATTTAACACTCCGACAACTGCTCAGCGATTACCGCGACGACGCTCATCCGTTGGCCGAATAAGCGTGCACTGAGTTTAATACGTTAGATACATATATATTTACGATTCTAAACGAAACGATAAATTGTCTAGGTTTATGTGATATGCGACAAGCCTTTAAACGTTATCGCAAGTAATTCGGAATTTTTACTGGGTAAGTAAAACACGTGCTGTCCAACTCAAAACATCGGGCTGATGGAGTTCTCGCGCTTCATGCTCGTGCCTCGCGAAATTTGAATCGACCGACCGACCGACCGTTATCAGCGAAGATAGCTTGCCTTCCATATTCATCGATAGTTATACGTCCACTTCCTATTTGCACTTTAGCGTTCCGCGGATAATGAAAAATGATACACATTTTTCCTCGAAATAAATTTCAGCTTGCCGAGTCTGTGGTACCGCGAAGACGAACGTGTTGCTCCGTTGACATTTCGTGTTCCCAACCATAAGATGTTGGCGGATTTCGAAAGAGTGATACTCCCGATGGGAGACGTGGCAAACCGATGCCACGAGTTGGACAGCAACGTCAAGTATACTTGTATCGATCGATTTTTTCATTAAAATCGTATGTAGATATTGTATTATATATCGAAATGCGGGGAAGAGTAGATTTAATGGATTATATCGCGCCAATAAAATGATTACATTTAATTACAATGTGACATTTCGTATATATTTAATATATACGAAATGTAAAGCAAGGTTTTTACGATATAATATCCTTGAATATATGAATAAAAAAGAAAGAGAGAATGCATATGCGTGTGAAAGAAAGATGGAGATTTCTAGTGAGAATGTATTTAGATTGCTTCCCATTCACATCTTGGTAGTCATGATTGCATAATGTAAACACATTATGGCATCATAGGTGTACGTTTATGATTAATTACAATATCATGACGAAATAATGCTAAAGTACAAAAAACCTAGGTGCTATATTGTTATTCTAGGTATGCTGTAAGCATAAACCTAGGTGTGTTCCAGCAGCTCGTACCATATTGTAATAGCCAGAACGTTATATACACGTTCCAAAAAAAAGAAACCAAATCGCCAACAATTAAACTTTTGTGATGAACGTGCATAAGTGGAATCTGCTTTTTTATTCGACGAAAAAAGCTCGGTTCAAGCCTAATCACATCGATAAGAAAAACTTGCGTATTTGAAAATTATTTATTTGGTACAGTAGGACCATAATTCAAATCACTGTTGATGTATTCGATTATTCTTAACTTTCCAATCATTTATGTGATTATCGAATCGTTTAATTTATTGACATAAGACAGGTGATTTACACGTGATATCACTCGTATAGCGACGATATAATTATGTTATTTTTTTCCCTTTTTTTCAAAATGTTCGAAATATTTTCTTAATGATATA